ATCAGCAGATGCAGTTATCATAAATGGACACACGTTTTTTTCCTTCCGTAGTTATTTTAACTTCAACTTCGCAAAAAATGCCATCATAAGGATTCTGAACAAGAAGATCGATGTGGGAATCGGCAACGAGCGAATTTTTCATCAAATCCAGCTCAATGTTTTCGTTTTTCAATCGATGTATAACTGTGGTTGAAAGACAGCTGTCTCCAGTTATTGAACTAAAAAAATACTGGCGCAGGATGGAAAATGCCGTGAACAAACCCGGGAATATAGTTTGGCATCAGATTCCCAACGACGCATTCGAATCCACTGGTGTTGAAGTGTTGATTTCTTGGACGAAAGAAATGTATGAAAAGTTACGCCTTCATCCCAGGATATTTCGCTGTTTTTTTCTTTTTAATCGAACCCAAGGAATAGTCTGGGGCATTACAATGCCAGTTAACCATTTTGACCAATTTTTGCAAAACGTTTGTAAAAAATAAGACTTCGGCAACAGTAACTACTAGTATATTGCTTACAGCAGATGCCGCTCAAATTTCAACCCCACCACGAACGTTGAACGGACTGTTATCCGGGTACTTTGAGAACGCCCTCTATCGAATTTCGTGAGAAAAATAGTAACTCGGAAATTAGGAATTTACAGCATATATTATACAGTTGTAAATCAACTTTAAGTCAACTGCATGGCAATTTCTCTTGGATAGCCCTTAATCTTTTTTTACTTTATTATGTACGGTACTGTAATGCTATTTTTGCTGAAGGGATGATTCAGTGAATATATCTTTTTCGTATGTTTCACATTCATCTCTCAACAATCAGATTCGGATTCTGTATCTTCTGAATACCTTCATAAGATTTAACATCCAAAAAAAAAAAATTTTTTGCATGACAAATATTTGTTTTTTTTAATCAAAACTTTTAAAAAATTGTGATGCGCATGTTTTAAACTGACATGTGCAAAAACCAGAAACATGAATATATTTTTTTCTGTGCCTAAAAATGTTTCGTCTCACTTTCTTTGCTCAGATCCTCTGTATTATTGCAGAAGAAGAAGGGGACATTGAAGCTTTCAAAGACTACAAAGTAACTGATGAAGACTTGCAAGGTCCACCTCCGCTACCAAAATCACCAACAGACCAACCCCCTGAAGAGCAGGTAATTTAAAAAAAATAAAAATAAAATTCACTACACGAGTTTTGATTAGCCTTAAAAATGTGGGCGGCGGGGGCGCAGCGTCCTCATCCATGGCCATACGCCCCCTTACCCTGAGGAGCAGATCCTCTGGCAACCATAAAATTCTGATTGACCAGGGATTACAACTGTGACCTGTCTGATAGTAATTTTGGCCCCAAGGAAGCCATAGGATGCTCCATTTTATCTTAGAATTATCAATGTATTGTTTTCTTTTTTCTACAGCCTACAGCTTCTCAACCACCACCAGTTGTTTCCCCTGCACCCGC